ACCCCAACCTGGGCATCGGGATCCCTCTCCTGACCAGCAGCTACATCAGCCCCAACACGACGGTTCATCTGCACAGTGAGAACGGGATCCTGGGCTTGGGCCCCTTTCCCTTAGAAGACCAGGTGGACGCGGCCGTCATCAACGCGGGCAAGCGGACGGTCACCGTGCTTCCCAGGGCCTCTTTCTTTGTCAGCGATGACTCCTTCGCTATGATCCGCGGGGGCCACATCCAGCTGACCATGCTGGGCGCCATGCAGGTTTCCAAACACGGAGACCTGGCCAACTGGATGATACCCGGAAAGAAGGTGAAAGGGATGGGCGGAGCCATGGATCTGGGGTCCAGTGCCAACCCCAGAGTGGAGGTCACCATGGAGCACTGCGCGAAGGCAAAGGCCCCCAAAATCTTGGAGAAGTGCACCATGCCGCTGACCGGGAAGGGCTGCGTGGACCGCGTCATCACCGAGAAGGCCGTGTTCGATGTGCACCCGAACAGAGGGCTGACGCTGGTGGAGCTCTGGCAGGGTTCGACAGTGGACGAGGTCAAGACGAGCACGGGCTGTGCCTTTGCCGTGTCCCCGAACGTCAGACCCATGCAGCAGGTGGCACTGTGAGCAGGGAGCCGCCTGGGCCACACCGTGGGCTTCCTGGGTGCCTGCTGGGGCTTCCTGGGAAGAAGTGGTAACCAGGGGGCTCTGTCAGGCACCAGCGGGGTGCTGCTGACCTCTCAGGCTTTCTACTGCTAGATACCCGGTCCTACCAGAGCCATGGGAATCTAATTAAAAACGAAAGGGAACACCCAGGCGCCACTGGTGTCCTGTGAGTGCTGCGGGGTCCCTGCCACCATCACTGAGGACGCTGGTGCTGCTGCACCGTCTGTGATGTTTACAGTGAGTCACACGGCCTAGAGGGTCCCCTAGCAGGCTGCTGGTCCACTCTTCTCCTCACACCTGAGTCATGAGCTGTAGGGGGAAGGGATGAGGGGAAGGAACCCCTCTGAGCTCACCTAAGGTGCCATTTTACTGCTGCCGCGAAAAGCGTACAAAGCTGAGTGTGATTGTGCAGATCTGGGAACCTGAGCAATAGTGTGGCCATGTCCGGAGTCCCGAAGGGGCCTCGTGGGACATGCTCCCTCCTAACCCAGCAGGGCTGTGGGGAATGCCATCCTCGATCTACTGCCTCACACACTAAAGTAGAAAAGAAAAGGGATCCGTGTCGGTGTCGGGTGTGGGTGTGAACGGAGAAGGCAGAGCTTGGTGTGCAGCGTGCACTTGGTCAGCTCAGCCACGGAGATGCTGGGCGGAGCAGGGGATCCCAGGTGCTCACAGGCGGCTTTTTCAGGCCCCATTGAAGTCTCAACCCAAGGAAAGGCTATGTTCTGGTATCCAGAGATAGTGCGGGGACACCTGGGGAGGTGCCACCGCCAGTCCAGGGAGGATGGCTCATTGTCTGGCACAACACGCTGTACTTTTGGGGCTTCTGGGGGCCCCTGATCTGCCCTGGGCGTCAGGAAAACTCTCCAGCAGCAGCGTGAGAAAAAGTTGAGGTCCAGGAGCAGACAGGCGGGAGGATATGTTCTGGAGATAGTGCGGGGACACCTGGGGAGGTGCCACCGCCAGTCCAGGGAGGATGGCTCATTGTCTGGCACAACACGCTGTACTTTTGGGGCTTCTGGGGGCCCCTGATCTGCCCTGGGCGTCAGGCGTCAGGA